CCCGCCACCTTAGGTGTACGTGGCTGGCGCCTTAGCCGGTTGAGCTATAGGCGCCGAGCCCGTATAATTATTTCTTAAAATTATAAATTACAGCTCACAATAGAGTGAAAGTTAGTGATTAAATTGACCAATTGCTTTACAGTCTTTCAGAGTTGCCCTACTTATTTTCACCTATAAGTATTCCTCCTTGAAAACTGGTTTTTATTTCTTTTTCTTTTATATCCCTTTAGGGTTAGCAGAGGTTTTTTTTGTTCTTTGTAATATATAACTAAATTTTTAAAAATCTAATGACAAAATATGGCTTTCTAATTTAAAAAACCAGGTGGTAAGCACTCAACGAATAAAAAGCAGTTTATGTTCTAATGCAGGTAAGTATAGAAAATAGAAAAAGAAAATCATCCAGATCTTTTAGGAATTTCATTTTCCATCAGCATTTGAGAATGAATCTTTTTTTCCCTCCAACTTCATTTTTTCAAAAAGCACGAATCATTCTCTTTAAGTATAGCACTAGTAGATCTAAATTTGGGGTTTGACTTCTGTGCTTGGAACTTAAATGTACAAGAGTATTTTCATTAACCATAAGCATAGTTTTGTCATCATCTTGCAAATACACTTTCTAGAAAAGATTGTTTTTTGAGGACAGAAGAAAAAATTGATCCATTGTTTCTCTCTTAAGATTTATACTAAAAATTAAATCATTGCCAGTTTTTATGACCTTTTTCATTTGAGATCTTTTTATTACTAGATTTTAAACTGTGTTATTTGAATAAAAAGTAGAACATTCTTCTGGCTACAAGGAAATACCTTTAAGATTATAAATATGTATTATTTCCTGCCTCAATTAATGTGAAATTTTCATAGAGTTAATTTTAAATGAGATTTTGAATGACTCAGAAAATTCTGGTATTATTTATTACGATTGCATAATTGCACTAGCAAGATAATATAGTTGTGTACATTATGTGTTAAATGAGCATTTCCCCAGTGCATTCTTCTTTGTTTAAATAGGAAGCTGTGATTCATGCATGACCAGTTACTCTTATTAGCAGTACGATTCCCCATTGAGTAGATATTTATCTATGCATCTGCTGTGTTTGTTAATAAATGAGGACTTCTTGATAGGATAGATTGGCTGTGATGATATAATAAGCAGGAATAATAGAATAATAAAATGTACTATCAAAAGCAGTGAAATATAGAAAGAAGCATTGTGGCTTGTTATTATTGTAATAAGAGTTATAAGCAGGAAGAATATTATCATGTATAGATGATTTTAACTTAATTGACTTATTGACTTATTTCAATTCAAATCTCACTGAGAATACTTGCCCTTAGATTTATTTCTAGTGAATTAACAAAAATGTTCCCACTCCAGTTATGTTCTTTTATTAAAATTGTTTTAAAGCCTCATCCTGAAGAAAAGCTACATTTCCTTCTTCCTTTGTTTTTCCCTAATTTTTAGTGGTAAAAGTACATATGTCATCTGGCCATAGTGATAGGCACTGGGTCCCATCTATATCCATATTTGTATTGAAATTTGTGGAATTAACATATACTACAATCTCCCCCCCAAAAAGCTAAAAAAAATTTATAAGAAATTGATTTATTCTTATGTGAATATTATGTGTCAAATAAGTCCAACTTATTTACATCTATTAAGTCATACATCTTCTCCCCAAGTCTGTTTTGCCTCAATCATAAATCCAATTACAAAGCATAAACTATGCCTCAGATTTTCTAAACAAAAATATCAAATTAAGGCTAATTAAAAGGTTCTAATTAGAATCCTTTGTTATAATAATTTAGTCATCAATTTTTACCAATATTTTCTTTAGTTGTATAGTAAAATTTTCACACATTTCTTTTATAATAATAGATGTCTCATTTAATAATATATTTTATATGTTTTGATTTATTTAATTTTTTTAAATAATCCCTGAGGTTGGAGCTGCTATTAATCCTCATTTTATAAATCAAGAACCTAAAATCAAGAAACCTGTTTTCAGAGAAGTTAACAGTTGCCTGAGGTAACATAGCCTATAAGGCAGATATGAACCCAGACCATCTGGCTTCATAATCTATACTCTTAAACACTAGTGTTTAACAATTTAGACCTAATTACCACTTTCATATATATAAGATGTTTAACTTTGATCTAGTGGATCAAACAAGTAGAATATAAAATTCAGATGTGGAAGGGGTGTGCTTATTCACAAGCCTCTAAAAAGTAGAAATTAAAACTTCATGTTTTTTAGCCATTTATCTGTATTAACTTAGAAGATAATATTAACATATTCCTTCTAATTATCTTTTAGTGGCTTTTTTATGTATGTGATAAAACATTAGATATCCAGAATTGTCCCCAGCTTTTATAATACTATTACTCCAAGGAATTGTGTTATCATTTTAATCAGGATCACAACATGATAGAAAGGAGAAGTTAGAAGACTTTAATCAGAGTAAGAAAACAAGGAGTAGCGAGTTACAGGAAAGTCAGGAGGAGAGTCAGATAGAACTAAAATGAATTTGACTGTGTGTAAATGGCAAGGAGTTAAGTATGATCTGTTTATTTTCTCCCTTTTACCCTACCTCTGACAGGGCTATTTGTTCTTTTGTCTGTATTTCCAGGGTATTTTATATGTATCTCTATAGTAGCACTTACCATATGGTGCTATAATTATATTTTTAGGTATTTTATTTGCCCAACTTAGGTATTTTATTTGCCCAACTAGACTGTGGGTATTTGTGGCCTTTGAGGGTAGAGACTGTTTTATTTCTCCCTATACTTCCACAATGCCTGACATATAGAAATACTTTAAAAATTCTTTGTTAAATGCATGCATGGCTATAATTATATGCTTTACTTCACTGGTTGTATCATACCAACATTTATTACCACCTTCTCTCTTCCTTTCTTCATCTTCCCTTTTTTGTAAAATTTCCCTTCCTCTCAGTTTTTATTTTCTTGCCACTCTCACCCCTTTACAGTTCCATCCCTCCAACCCTTTGTGTCTTGTTTAATGCATTATCTTCCTCTTCGACTCTTACAGAGATTTTCTTTATTAGCCAGGTTTTGAGAATGAGTTTGCCAGATGGTGAGAGTAATGACAGTGTGTCTCATGTCAGTTAGAAAGAAGCAATTTGCCCTAAGCTACCGATTTCATAAAACCCATGACTAGAGATTGAATTAGACTTCCTCATCCTTTGGGGTTATACCTAAATTATCCTTTTACCTCTGTCTCTTTGATTCCTTAAAGTACATTTTGCACCCTAGAGTTTCTTAAACTGTTGTAAAAACTGGCACCAGAACCTCTTCATGTGTAGATAACTACTATTCTACCCTTAATACCTCCCTCTCAAAAAAGTTTGCTGAATCTTGGAGCTTATGGTTGCAAATGATACAGATTGGCTTATTGGACTTATGGTGGAAGTATGAGAGTGATAAAGAGACTGAGCCCTTGAACCAAAATATATCAGCTCTAGAACATAATGTCTCAAAGTCTGCACTATGTCTCATAGTCAGTCACCTGGTTGAGCTCCCAAATTTCCAAGACAGTACCTGACATAGATAGTTGACACCCAGGATGAATTCATAGCACAGTCATTTACCTTTCTGAAGTAATAAAGAGAACTACTTAGAGAAAGAATAGAAGGAACCAGCCATGTCTAGAAAAAATCATAGACTTCCACATTGAACATTTCTGGAAAGTGAATGTAACTAGATGACCATTTTCTCAAAACTGTTGATTTTCACAACACTGCTGGTTAGTCAGAATTCCTTGTTTCAAAAGCCCTATTTTCTCATGTATAAGATAGAATGGGTCTGCCTTCAGCCCATCTTATTTCACACAGGTTTATCAAGGCATTCTGGGTAGGGCATGGTGGCCTTGTACTCTGGGAGGGAGGGCAAGGCAGGTAGATTACTTGAACTCAGGAGTTGGAGATCAGCCTGGGCAAGAGCAAGATACTGTCTACTAAAAATAAAAAATACTAGATGGGCTTTGTGGCAGGCACCTGTAGTCCCAGCTACTTGGGTGGCTGAGGCAAAAGGATCTCTTGAGTCCAAGAGTTTGAGGTTGCTGTGAGCAACCTCTCTCTACACTACAGCATTCTACCTAGGATGACAGAGTGAGACTCTTGTCTCCCCCACGCCCACCCCCCCAAAGAAGACATTCTACCCAGTTTGAACCTATTTCTAGTGATCTCATTGCTATCTATTTGCCTTCTCAGTTTCCCTTTTCAATGGTAAACAGGCTTCCACAGAATAGGATGAGTTTGTGTAGGTCTTCTGTAAAACGGAGATATGAATAATATCTCATATATTCATATCATATGATAATATCTCATGTATTCTCAATATAATAGCTCATAAGATTGTTATGAAGATTAAAATAATGCTGAAAAATATATACTGTATGGGTTACTGCTCAATACATTCAATCTTAATACATATATCATTGCTTTCAGAACAATGGGAAGAGGGCTGTTTTTGTGGTGTAATTTCAAGATGAACATAATCATCACCATGGCATTAGTGAAATGACAGGGACTTTGGTTAGAGAATAAGGCATGCCTCAAATGGTAAACCATCCTTTCCTACCTATTCTTTGTCAGCAAAGAAGAGCTTTATATTCAGTTAGCCAAGATGGGGAAACATTCCAGAAATTATCATAGCATTTGCTCTCTAGCTAAAAATACTATAGAACCTAACATTAGATTTCCTCTTGAGGCGTCTACCACTCTCTCTGCTTTTGACTTCAACTCTTCACTATTTTCTAACTGTAGTTATTCCTTCCTTTTTTCCTTCTTTGTTTTCTTTCTTATTCATTCATCTTATTCCCTTCACTGCTAATTTTCAAGCTACCCTCTGTTGCCAGGTCCCATTGTTTGTGATTAGTTCATTGGTTTCCATTTTATCCCCTAAAGCAATCATGCTGAATAGTGAATTAGAGAAATTTACTGACTTTTCTTGTTTCTGTGTTTTCTGATTTATTTTTTTCTTTCTCTCAGTTTCGAGTATTTACAGCCCCCTTCCATAAGGTAGGCTTTGCTGATTTCTGGCTGGCTGATCAGCTGAACAGCCTGTCAGTGATACTGATGGACCTGGAATATATGATCTGCTTCTACAGTTTGGAACTCAAATGGGATGAAAATAAGGGCCTGTTGCCAAATGATTTAGAAGAAGGTAGGGTACCAATTTGCATCCACACTACTAAATTGCCAGTGTACAGCAATATTGGGAATGATAAATGAGAAAGTTAAGGTCACGATGAAAACTCTTCCCATAATATTACAAATGTAATTAAATGTTCTTGGCACTCTGTTAGCAATCTCTTTATCTGATATAATTTGGCTTTTAAATTATGTGTTAGGATTTTAGCCATCCATTTGCCAAGAGATTTACAACTTACACTTAAAGAATTCTAAAACTATTTTGTAAAAAAAGTTCTAGTATGTTGGTAGTTATATTGCAAGTGCTTTAGTGCCAACAGTTTGTCACAGTATTACTTTATAATATCATGTAGATAGCAGTGAGCAAAAATACTGATTATTTAGAATTAGATCAAGTGCTTTGAGAAAGTTATTATAGATTGTGTTTTAATTCCTGTTTGGAACCTTGTTTTTATTCTGGCTCTTTTTCCCACTCTTAGTTTACTCCAGGAGTTAAAGTTATTAAGGAATTTTGCTTTCATGACAAAGATCTAATTTAGATGGATTATGTAACATCTGACTAAAAAAAGTTAATGATGAAAACAGTTCACACATTTTCATTAATTACCACTGGATCACACTGTAATACAGCAATTCTCAACCTGTGGATCATGACCCACAGGAACTGTATTAAAGGGCCGCAGCATTAGGAAGGTTGAGAACCACTGCTGAAATACATAACTGGAATTCAAAGAAAAATTGATTTACCAAGTCTGTTCTTCTTATTTAAAAACACAAAATCCATTCTTGGTTTAAGAAATAAAATGGCTGGGCAAGGTGGCTCACACCTGTAATCCTAGCATTTGGGGGAAAGTAAGACAGGAGGATCACTAAAGTCAAGAGTTTGAGACCAACCTGAGCAAGAGCAATACTGTGTCTCTTCAAAAATAGAAAAATTAGCTGGGCCAGCCATGATGGCACATAACCTGTAGTCTCAGCTTCTTGGGACGCTGAAGCAGGAGGATGGCTGGAGACCAGTTTGAAGTTGCTGTGAACTATGATGATGCTACTGTACTCTAGCCAAGGAGATAGAGCAAGATCCTGTCTCCAGAAAAAATGAAGGGATAAGAACATGTATCCTGTACCCTTGGGTGTATTATGTTATGGTGGTTTGGAGTTCATTAAATTGTTTAGAGTCACCTGTGATACTTTCAGGTTTTCCAGATGTTTCAGATTACAAAGCTAACCAATTTTCCATCCTTTAATTTGTGTACTAATATTTTAATTTTCTTATGGTTTTATCACACTCCAAAGAAAGTGGTGACTCCAGGACAGACATTCAGAAATCTGAGAGAACAAATTTCCCCGCTAGTCCCCCTCCTACATATTTTCCCTTCTCTCCTTAGCTTATCTACCACTCAAAAACTTGAGAATATAATAGTTGTAAAGAAGAAAGTGATTCTGAAACTCAGGCTTCTTGCTTTTACGGACTTGGTAGTGTTTAAATGGACTTGGTATGTGGCTAAATGATGTGAACAAGTTAATTTTTTTTAATTGTAATTTTCTTCTTCTTTGAAATCTTCACAGAACCAGGAATTTGCTACAAGTACACATATGGTGTGCGGGCCATTGTTCAGTGCATTCCTGCTTGGCTTCGCTTCATCCAGTGCCTGCGCAGATACCGAGACACAAAAAGGGCCTTTCCTCATTTAGTTAATGCGGGCAAATACTCCACAACTTTCTTCACAGTGACATTCGCAGCCCTTTACTACACTCACAAAGGTATTCCATGAATGGCTATGAAGAAATTTTTTCAAAACTTGGAGTTTTACTACTTGAATCTGTTTCTTTCTTTGGTTATTTTTCCATTTGTCATGCTCGTCTTGGTTTTTTTCCATTGAAATTGCAGTTCCCTCATTAATGCCAGTTTGCTCAACTAACAAACTGGTTAGTTTCATTTCAGTATTTACTGACAAGTACATGTACAGTTGAAAAGAAGCACAGTCACCCAGAGTAAGAGAATATGTGACAATGCTTAAAATCCTGAATTTTGTTTAATGGGTTTGATCTATGGATATCCTGGGTTTTCATTTGATTTTTTAGACTTTCTTGTTCATTAATGAGGTTGGGAAATGGCTAGGTGAAAAAGATTCCCCGTGGCAATCAAATATATTTTTAATTGCTTTCCTTCACCAAGTAGTAAGGATTGTTTCCAGCCCATTTAACTGCAAATTGAGTTTTCTGATCCCTCTAGTTTCTCATCTCCATGGCAACCTGTTATTACTTGAGACTGCTCTTCTGTTGGGAAGAGAAAAAAGCTTTTAAGTTCTGAGCCACATGCAGTCTTTCCTTTTGAATTTTTAACCTTTTCCCAAGAACTGTCAATCAGTGACTTCGCTTCTTTTTACTAAAATGCATTCTTTCTTTGTCTATTTAAATCAATACCAGTCCATACCTTAGACCCTGCACTTTTGCATCTGTAGGTGATAAAAAAGTATTACTAATTGAAATTATTATAGTTATTTTTAACACATATTTGAGGAATTTAAGTGACAGGCCATATTTGACGAGCCTTAGTGTTACATTGCTACTTATCTAAAGTATGTCTAATGATCATGAAATATGAGGACATTTCTTCAGTAAGCCTTGAGACTCAGTCCAGCAGAACACATTCTCCACTTTTTACAGTAGATCTATGGTTAGAGTAGTATTGATAAACATAACCAATAATTTTGCCACTATGTAGGCCCTCTTGTTAAATGATATGTAATAATTTAACTAAGTATGTCAATGGAGGAAACACATCCATTAACTTACTGAGGGATGCTTTCATTCAATTCAGGGATGCATCATGATTTAGAAGGTTGTTACCAGAGAATTTATAAACAAATCAGGCAACTGATTTGGTACACATGGTATTTTATGGCTCTCTTTACTAAATTAACAATAACCCTTTACTTGTCTTACATCTGGGGTAAAAATGTTTTTGGATGAATATTTTGGAACATAATGCATCTTTAGCTACAGTTTACCCTTGAGCAACTTGGGGCTTAAGGATGCAAGCCTTCATGCAGTGGAAAATGTATATAACTTCTGATTAAACTGAACTACTGATACTACTATTGACCAGAAGCCTTACTTATAATATAAATCATCAATTTATACATATTGTTTATGTTATGTGCATTATAGTACACTATATTCTTATAAAAAAGTAAGCTTTAGGAAAAATGTTATTAAGAAAATCATAGGGGCTGTGCCTGTGGCTCAAAGGAGTAGGGCACCTGCCCCATATGCTGGAGGTGGTGGGTTCAAACCCAGCCCTGGCCAAAAACTGCAAAAAAAAAAAA